AAAAAACAAATGAAAAAAGTTGGATTATTTGTAATATAAAATGTTGATGATCTATATATTTTCTCCCAATCTGAAAAAATCAACACGTTAATTAACTACAATAATTAGACAAATAAACTAATCCAAAGTTTTGACTTCTTTTAAAGTGTGTAAGTGTTAAAACTACCTTACCTTTCCTTTGTAATGGTGGCTTTTAGGCTGAGTTCAACTCAATTATTACATGCAGCGAATAAGAGCATCTCCAATGGAGTGTGCATTCTTCCATTTCATTGCCACATGTCTCGAAAAATCCAATGTGGCATGTAAAAGTTCTAGAAGTCTTTCTAGATGTAGAAAAACTTCTAGACATCTTCTATTGATATTATATTATTTATTTTATATCTCTCTCTCAACCAACTAATTATTTTCTTACACATGTCAATTTATTTTATATCTCTCTCTCAACCCTCCAAAAACCGTTACTTTTTATTTATTTAACCTTTCATTTAATTATTAGATAATCAACACACTAATCACTTCAAAATTACAAAAATTATTTTAAATTTTGATTTACTTATAGCTGACCATATAATGTGTTCACTATTTAACTTGATTAAATGTTATTGTTGTGGTTACATTTAAATTAACTTCTTTTAGAAAATAAAAAACGTATATGAAATTTCTAAATAAATAATAAATAATTCCAAAGAAAGATACATACCAAAATATACATTACATCCAATATGATAATGTAATTTAAAAAAAAAAAAAATTCAGCTCCTTTAATTATAAATTTGGCAAAAATCATTGATTACTATATGCATACAAATAACTCACAATAACTTATTTACATATCTGTGCAAATGCACAGGTCGAATACTAGTTTACTAAAATTAGTAGCAAAAAAATAGGCCAACATTTAATGCAACCCATAAATAGTAGTTTTATAATTTTTCTTATTTTTTATTTAAAAATCATACAATTTAATTTATAAATACGCTTTAATATAATCATACAATTTATAAAAATTATACAATTTATTTTTTTATTTAAAAATATGCTATATATATGATACTTTTTGTAATAAATTTGAATAAAATGTGTTACTTAAATATCTAAACAATTTAAAAATTCAAATATTTAAATTAATTGATAAACAATTTATAAATCTCTATTTTATTTAATTTTATTTAAAATAATTTTAAATATAACAAAATTTATTTAGAAAATCGTATCGATCCTACCAGTTCAACTGACTGGTGTTGACGGATTCAATAGCAAATATTTTATTCAAGTGAACTAGACTACTTATAAACTGGTTCTCGGTCCATCCGATCGGACTGTATCCAACACGGTTTAATTTTAAAACGATATTCATTTATTTGTATATTTAATTTATAACACAATTGTAATATTATTTTTTCGTGCATCGCACGGACCATGCACTAGTTATTCAAAAGGTATATTGATAAATGTTTAAAATGAACAACATTCGTACGATTGTTAATTAATGCATCAATTCATGATTGGTTGAACACGTAAATGTGTAACCACAATTGAATGATTGTATTTTGTTGAGCCACTAGTTTATAGCTTATTTATTCCAAATAAGTTCATTTTAGGATACTTAAAAAAAAAAATAAAAAAAAAAAAAAAA